TTCCATCTGTTCCTCCTTCCTTCCTTCCTTTTTTCCTCTCCTGCCTGCACATCCCCAACATCATTTTTCTGGCTCACCAAAACACAAAAAGTTGGCATACCCGGTATATGTCTCTTTACACCTGGACTAAAGGTCAAAGTTGTTCATTTTGGGCCAAAAGGAAGGAAGGAAGCATCAAAGTACCAGCCACTTCCATCTGGGCAAAGGTGTGGACCGTAAGTAGCACTGAGCTGCTGTGTGCAGGCATAGAAAGGACGAACTTGCACCAGACGAGAGCAGCAAAGCATGTCCTGATGCAACCGATGCAACGTAGTCCTCTCTCAGCAGCACTGTGTTGTGATAGACGTGTCACAAGATGTTCCTGTTACCAAACTCCTGCCACTCTAAGTGCTTGAAGGGAACCACAGTGCTATGCAACAGCATCCCTCAAGTTCTGAGAGTCACTGAGTGTGTGCTCTGGAGAAGAGAGTTAAATATGCAGGTAACACCGTGAGGACAGATGTCATTTATCCCACGTGCTTTTCTTACTGGTGCTACTTTGGTTCATTCTCCTGCCCTGACTACTGAAACCACCTCCTGAGAATCAGGGAATCTTCCTCAATGCTGGAATGACCTATGCCACTACCCAACTTAAAATAAACAAATAACTAGCAACGACTACGTGAGCCCTTGCCATCCATTGGAAAATATCTAAATCACTACAGTCTTCCCCCGTTTTCTTGTTAAACCACCCACCACTGAAATGTCATCACCTAAACTACTCATATTTGAAAGCGTACCATGCATTTCACATTAGATGAAGTTCTGAATAACTTCCTTGAAGATCGAGTCACTCCAGTGACCTTCTGAATGAATTAAGAAGACTCACTTCATGAATATGCCCAAGAATTATTTCAGTTATGCCTCAGAGGGACTGGAGACACAAAAATAGCTTCTGCCTGGATAAGGTCCAGATTCTTCAGACTGACATTCAGTGCCCTGGCTACCTACGTGAAATCTGCACCTGAAGCTTGTCACTCCAGTAGGATCGGAGCTGTCCTTCCAAGCTCAAGGACTTGTCTCTTCCGCATTTGTTCCACCTACTTTAGTGCTTTGATGAAAGCTCAAAGCACCCTAAACAGACCATAAATGTCTCTGGATACTTATTATTCCCTACTATACAGGCTATTTTACATATTCCCATCTATGTGCTCCAAATGAAGAGTGTGAACTACAGGCTCTATGCCAAGGGATTAAAAAAGATAGACTTATGTCATTAAAAATCACTTAATAACAGAGGGAGAACACTGTGGTATTTTCGATGCTCTCTCAGTCCTTAATGATGTCTTGGTAAAAGTACCAATCTGTTGCCAGCAGTTTTTTATCGCCTCGTGACACAAATTAATTCCCTTTATCTTTCAATCTCCATTTTTCGCTCCCCTTCCTTCCTTCCTTCCTTCCTTCCTTCCTTCCTTCCTTCCTTCCTTCCTTCCTTCCTTCCTTCCTCCCTCCCTCCCTCCCTCCCTCCCTCCTTCCTTCCTTCCAAGGATACTGTATTTAGATATAAAGTAAATATGTTTGGGTGCTAATGTGGTGAAGAAGGAACAGGCATGGCTTGGGTTTGGAAACCCTCGTATAAGACTTTACACTTCAAAAGAATGAAAAAGGTTGGCAAGGTTAGAGAATGCGTGTCTTAGTTTCATCACAAAATTGGGCATGGTTCTGCCTTCACCAAGTATTATGGACCAAACTGTGTCTCCCCCAAATTACGGTACGCTGAAGTTCTAACCCCAGTATCTCAGGATGAGACCTTATGTGGAAATAGGGCCATTGCAGATGTATTTGGTCAACAAGCTAAGACAAGATCATGCGACAGGAGGGTGGGCTCCTAATCCGATATGATAGATGCCCCTGTAAGGAGATGGCCTTGTAAAGACAGAGGAGATGCACAGATGATGGCGATATGATGACAGAGGCAGTCTGCAGTGACACAGCTGCAAGCCGAGGGACACCAAAGATGTCCAGCATACCACCAGGAGCTAAGAAGAAACACAGAGAAATCACCCTGCAGGTGTCTGAGGGAGCTCAGCCCTGTCTGCACCTTCAGGTGGGACTTCCAGCCTCCTGAACTGTAAGATAATACATTTATTTTTAAGCCACAGAGTTTCTGATACTCTGTTAAGCAGCCATATGAAACTAATAAACAAGGTTTACCTAAAAACACTTGTTGGCTTGACTGCAATCATTACCTCATGGAAGAAAGAACCTATTGATGATACACAAGCACCTTCATCTGTTGTTTGTACCTCTTCAATCCCCAGTGCACTCAGCGTTGCTTTTCTCAGACCCAGTTTATAAAGTCTGACTGTTCAAATTTGGTGTCCTTACCACACATTTTCAACTCGATAAACATGTTATTGCAAAATCCACAGGGCGTTCTTAAGCCGTTCCCCACCAAAAAAAACACAAAAAAACTTGGAATCATTGTAAAGATTAATACCTGCTATACCCCTGCAAGGTAAATGCAGGACCTGGAACTATTTCCCCCTCCAGGTGCAAACCAGATTCCCCGTCCCCCTGGGAGACTACCCCTGGACAAGGTAGTTTACCCAAGGAATGGCACATCTCCTTTAAGACAAATGGAAGACACTGGGATGCAGGTGCCCTGAGTAAGTTAATTAGCATGTGAATGTAGTTAGAACACTGATGTTAGCTACCTTGGTGCCAAGAGGGGATAACTTATCTACTCCTCCAGATCTCCTGCAAAGTCTGAGTCAGGTGAGGGTCTACCCATAAGCGTGCAAATGATTTACAACTCTCCTTTGATCTATTCACCATGTAACTGTTGTATGTACCCCATGGCTAACTGGCTGTCATCAGCACCTCCCGTAAGTCTAATAAACCGATGTCTCTAACTGTTCGCCAGGGTGAGTCCTTTGGAATAGGCGAACACTATGCAAATGCCCTTTCAGATTTGGGGCTCCCACGATCCAACCCCGTAAGCACGGACAACTTTGCATCCCCAGATCCTCTTCACCATTCCGCACACAGCTCCCACACTGCAGTGCAACTGCACTCGGGGACCTAACTCTGACATTTGGCATTGCATGGGAAGATTGACCATCCCACGGTGCCATGAGCATCTTCATTTTTAATTCAGTGTAAGAGGCTCAAGTTTAACCAAGGCAAACGAAGGTAGAACACAAGGACACCTCATTAATTTCCACAATTATGTTTTTACACAAGAGAAAATGAAAAGATGCCATATTTGTAGTGACTTAAGATATTGGAGAGCCTTTTTTCTTATTGTTTGCAGAAAAATCTGCTCAGTGCAATATCGGTAGACTCTGTTGTAAGTGTACTTTTTGTGTATTTTATACTTTCTACCACATTTAGGCCAATAAACGAACTATATATATTACAGATTATATCAAATTCTATAATCTATATACTTAAATATAGATCAATATATTAATCTCTATATTAACATATTAGTTATATTATCAAGATTATATAATCTATAACTTAAATATAGATCAACGTATTAATCTATATATTAATATATTATTTACAATATCAAGATTATATAATCTATATACTTAAATGTAGATCAATGTATTAATCTATATATTAATATATTATTTATAATATCAAGATTATATAATCTATATACTTAAATGTAGATCAACGTATTAATCTATATATCAATATATTATTTACAATATCAAGATTATATAATCTATATACTTAAATGTAGATCAACATATTAATCTATATTAATATATTATTTACATATCAATATTATATATATATTAATTACATTAATATATTAATTTATATACTAATATGATATTTATATATTAATATTATATATACTATATACATAATCTATATACCTAAATATATACTATATACATAATGTATATACTTAAATATTGATTATGGATATACCTAAATATATACTATATACATAATGTATATACTTAAATATATACTATATACATAATATACATACCTAAATATATACTATAGATTATTTATATACCTAAATATACACCATATATTTAATCTATATACTTAAATATAGATTATGTATACTACTATATATAATATTAATACATAAATAATATATTCAAACATTTTCTGCACAAATCCTTTTATTATAAATGCATTATATGTTAGTATACATAATATATATTTGTATAATATATAATAAATACATATTTATATATGTATGAGTGAATGAACTATGTATATTATAGATTATATCAAGATATATAATCTATATAAATATGCAGTTCATATATTAGTATATAATTAATATATATATTAATATATAGGTTATTTAAAACGCATGTATTATAAATATATTACATATCTATATATTTCAATAATATACACTAAATACATATTTATATATGTATAGATTATATATTCGAATATACTATAATATGTCATTAGATGTAAGTAGTGTATATAAATATATACTGACATATAATCTATATTTTATATAGATTATGACATATATATAATTATACAAAATATAAATATGTATATAATCTATATATTAGTATATGTGACATATCTAAAAATATAAATAAATATATATTTACATTTAGTATGAGATTTATTTCATTCCTGTGCTTATGCAGTAAACACAATTTCCCATGTCCTCCATGTGTTTCAATCACCTTATTATTTATCAAATGAGACAAGGTCATAATTAGACTTGAAACCCTGTGATCTGCTTTCCACAGAACAACCAGATATGTGCAAATCCTGTACCAGCAGGTAGGAACTCGAGGACGTCCAATATGCATGTAGCACTCTAGTAAAAATCTGGTTTGACAGAAAATATTTTAGGGGGAAAGAAAAAAATGGGTTTCCATTGATTTGGGGGAAGGTATGACTGTTTTGTTGCTCTGTGTGTAGGTGTGTGCACCTCTGTAACACGGTCCATTCAATCATAGAAACCACACAACCCAGGAAGAGGGGCATGACTGATGTAAAGGACAACATACCCAGTTTTGGCAAAATTGGTCCAGTAGGTCATGACCACAGCGCTGAGCATCACGTCATTCTTGGAGAAGTTGCAGCTGAATAGCTCAGTAGGGCCAATCATGGGTATGCCAAAGACGTAGGGGACTTCATCACCATGGGCTGAGTCTGCCCAGCTGGGCTTCATCTCACTCTGGCAGTGGTGGTAGAATGCATAGAAATAGGTGGGCGAGCCATACTGGGCATGCAGGTCTGCTGTGGCCACCGCGGGGGCCACCCACTGGTGGTCAGTGAACAGTGCCACCAGGGTCTTCCGTCGTGTTTCTGGGTTCTCCTTGTCTGCCCAGTCTGTGTACATGAACTTGATGGTCTCCCTCAAGGTGTCTTTCCCTTCTGGATAGCCGTAAAGGTTGTCCACAAAGTTGGACACGGAGAAGTCGAAGTCATTGGGTGTCACACCATCTTCGTTGTCCACAATGCCATCCACAAACTTTAAGCCTTCCCCCTGGTTGACACCCAGCATGATGTCATAATTCAGGAACTCGCCCTGCTCCATGAGGATCTGGGGGTCATCTGGAATGACGTCACCATCAATCACAGGGCCGAAAGCAATGTGGTAGGTGGCCGGGGTGATGGTCTGCTGAATGAGCTCTTTGTGGTTCTTATTTCGAAGGCATTCAACCATGTCGGTGGTATCCAGCATGTTGCAGCCGACTTTATCTGCCAATATCCGAGTGTACTTGGCAGGCTGGTAGTTCACGGCCCAGCTGGACAGGGCGGTCCCACTCTGGATGATGGCTTTCTGGAACAAGCCTGCAGGTGCAAAATTGTGGACATGCAAATGAAAGCCCGCAAGACAGAAAAGCAGCTTTTACTAAGGAAAGAAGGCTCGGATTGTCTCTCAGGCATGTGAATTTCTGGGGAAAGTAGCATTCAGCCTCTATCAGGGTCTCTTTTACACATTTTCATTTCAATTTTCTTTCCCTTTCCCTCTCCCCCTAGAGATTAATTTTATAGAGGGTCATTCTAAACACACACACACACACACACACACACACACACACACACACACACAGGAGTTTAAGAAAATGAATCTACATTGACACTTTCCCTGCAACAGTAAAAAGCAAACAAAACAACCATGCAATTTCTTTATCCTTCCACAATTTAGAGTAGTTTTTGTTTTCTTGCTTCCAGATGCTTTCAGATCCACTGTGTGCCCTATTTTCTAAAAACATGATTTGCACTCATAAGAGGTCAAAGGTCTTCTGGTCTCACAGGTGAAACCAGGTACAGTTTCGGTAAGGGAAGGAAAAATCAACATGAGTCAATTTGGAGCTAATAATGGGATGTGTTGATATTTCTCTTCTGAGTCTAATTAATCTAATATTCAGATTTTTACAATTAAAATAATTCAATTAGCTATTCCTAAAAATATCCTCAATTGGGTACCCAATTAACAGATATTTTCCAAAAAACTATAAATAAATCACTAATTGCAAAATTACATCCTTAGGAAACCAGTTTTGCATATTTTATTCCACCACATTTCAAAAATGCCCCATTTGGTGAGAAACCTAAAAAAGCTTCAGAAAAATTATGTGTAGCTTAAATTTTTCCATTAGATCAGGCTACCGTATGGATGTCCAGAAGTATAACACCTGTTTTTAACCATGACAGGACAAGAGACGTTGGGCTGTAAAATCACAGCATTCTCTTTACGATCTCTTCCTGCTGTACCCATAAATTCCAGCATGAGTCTAGCGCTGGAAAAGAAAGCATTCCTCTGTGGGTCCAGAAGTTCGTGCCCTGTCGATTTCTAAGGTCGTGTAAGCAATCAAATTTGAGGAAAATATGATTGTAATCAGAAAGATACAATCTTAAAGATTGGAGGATTGCCCAGAGATGGCACACAAGACTGAAACTTTAAACCAATCTGGCTTTTCCCAAGATGTCATCAAATCTATCTGGGGACCAATTCCATCCAAAATGTGCAAGTATTGATTTAAGTGTTTGGCTCTAAAGATCGATGTTTTAAAGCACCTGAAAAACAATGTCAGTATTTGATTTATCAAGGACATGCATAAGTTAAAACAATTAGAATTAGAAAAATACTGTCATTTTTTAAGCTGTTCATTCTTTGCTGCGATAATTATACTGTAATGAACATCTTCATAAAAATATCTTTTTCCATGTGCATTTTGATTTCATTAGACTAGATAACTAGAAAAGTATTTCCTAAGGCAAACAGTCTGGGTATTTTATTTTAATTTTTTTATAGTTCTTGATTATGTGGCCGTGTCGTTTTGAAAAGCTGTCTTGCAGAAATGGCCAGTGAAAAGACTTTGTTGCAGGGAATAATCATTTACAGTCTGTTGGATTAAGTAATTAACACCCTTCCTCCAATTAGTTTAACTTACATGTGTTTGATTATTACTGAAGTTGGTCCTGACTGCTTTCTAAATCAAAAACTGTAATGATATCAGTTGAGAAAAGTGAGAATCTAGATATTTTCTAAAGTGCCCTAGGAATCTATATGACAAGTGATCTATTGGGTTATTCACTTTTTTTAAAATAAAGAGCCAATACCAATATGAGACTTTCCTTCCACCTCTCATTAGCTGTTACAAAATCAAGAAACAAGGAATTCTGATTTCAGAGGGCCTAAAAATCGTCATCGATTGAGAGTTCTACGCATACATAGATTTGCCAACTTGTGCACAACAGTACAGAAGGTGAAGAAAGAAATGCAATACTATCAAAAAATATATACTATTTTTAAGTGTATTTATGGATCCTGCATATCTTTTAAAGAAAGATATTCTGAGAATACTTAAAAATAATAATTCCGTTAACATGTCCAGTAACTCTGGTGAAACTGTATAAATCAGTATGATGCAATTCTTAAGCTAACTGATGAAACAGAGCAAAATATACCACTACTGTGATCACTGGGATCTTTATTATAAACACCCATTTGCATGTAGCCCAGTAACCCAGGGCTGGGTCTACTTTGCAGATTTTCCTGCTTTTTCCATTGAGTTCAGATCTGAGAAGTTACTACTCTGCTTCCAGAACCAATTGTGGTCAATATCTACAGACTTCTCTTTCAAATCTCTCGTCTAATGTTGTGTGGAGCTTCCCACCAATGCACAGCAGGGCATTGCCTTGAATGAGCTTTTGGGGAAAAACGTCAGGCTCTGCTGCAGGGCTGAGGGGTGTGGAAGGTATGTTGAATGCCACTTTCACATCTAGGTCAAGATATCATTTTATGCATGTGTTTTTGCTGTTCCTCTGCTTTCTGACTTGCCATGAGCAGTTTTCCTTGGCTATGAGCAGGGCCCTGCTGGGGGCTGGGGTGTCGGGGGTTTGAGTACCCACTGGAACAGGCATAGGGAAGACAACCTGTGGACACTTCCAAGATCCTCACACTGACTCTATCTAGCAAGCCCCTCAGTTTATTCTGCATTTAGCTTCCAGTTGAGTCCTTTGCTAAAAGTTGTATTTGCAGATAAGAGAGAGTAAGACAGTATCTATTGCTACATGTATGTGACAAACATGTTCTTAACATTACCAGAAGATTTTAAAAATTGACGTGAATTAGAAAAGTGACTTTTAAAAACATACTGATCAAAGCCATATTGACGATGAGATCTATACCTGTGCATCCATTTTCCACCTACAGCTTCCCTTTCGTATGACTTCTGCAGAGTTTAAACTAGAAGTTAATAAAGTTTAACGTGGACCAGATAAAGCCAGAATAGCAAAAGAAACTCAAGTGCTGGGATTTTGAAAAGGAATTATTTTGTTGCAATCGTTGTAACCGACATCTAATTATCATACATTTAAATTAGGGAAACTTTTGAATGTGTTTGCCACAAAGAAATGATAAATGCATGAGGTGATGGATACTTTAACTACCCTGAGGCGATCATTATACATTGTATGTATGCATCAACACATCAGATTGTACCCCATAAGCATTTACAATTACAGTGTGTCTATTAAAATAAATACAATAATAATAATGATAGCATAAATAATTAACTAAATTAGGGGAAAATATTGCTAATATTGTAAAGCTGAGTTAAAAGAAGAAAAGATGGATACATGCAATTCTGGGGATATTTTGTTCAGATTGCCAGAGACACATAGGTATGAGCTCTGTGCATGTTCATTTCCTGGTCCTGGGAACTGCCCATCTGCCAGGGGGACACCTGTATTACCTTCTGAATAGTGTGATAAAGTCAACAGACTGACACAGGAGGCTCCGGCCCCCGAGCCAAAGATGGTCACTCGCTTGGGATCTCCACCAAAGGCTCCAACATTCTCCTCGATCCACCGTAAAGCTTGGATCTGATCCAGCAGACCATAGTTGCCCTTGGCTGCCTGGTCACCGGTGCTTAAAAATCCTACAAGAGAACACAGGATATTTTTTGGTTGGCAACTGCAAGAAGCACATAAGCATTTCCATTATCTGAGAAGATATCTCATGATATACCCTGTTCATTCTTTCTCTGCCCACCTGCCTCAAAGTTATAAGAAACACTGGAAAACATTTTTCATGGTGGAAAAATAATAATGGTTTTGTTTCTGTGGACATTACAATAAAGTGTTTCATCTATGGGTATTTGTGTGGCTAATATAGAAGGTAAAATTAATCTAGAATACTTATAACATAGAGCAATACCAGAAGGTTTTATAAATTTTACTAGGTTTGATGTATCATTTCTGTGCACATTTTTGTTTTCATTGGAAAAATGAAACAGGATCCTACAAGAAATTTTTCAGGGAAAAATTATATATGTGTATGTGAGGGTGAGTGTGTTAGGGGGTGGGAGTCTATATATAAAACAATGAGAAGTGGAGGTCAGTTTTGCTTATTGAGTTAGTCATTACTATTTAAATTTAACTACATTTAATCTTTAAGATTCAAAATAAGTGATGGACATCAGGAGATACCATTCTTAACTGGTTTAGTATGCACCTCTATTTTTTCAATATAGCAAAAACATTGCAGTTACATGCAAAAACATATATATTTTTTAACCTCAGCCAAAAGCCCATCCATTTCACTAAAACAATGAGAAGTGTAGGTCAGTTTTGCTTATTGAGTTAGTCATTACTATTTAAATTTAACTACATTTAATGTTTAAGATTCAAAATAAGTGATGGACATCAGGAGATACCATTCTTAACTGGTTTAGTATGCACCTCTATTTTTTCAATATAGCAAAAATATTGCAGTTACATGCAAAAACATATATATTTTTTAACCTCAGCCAAAAGCCCATCCATTTCAAATCTCCCCTATAGACTACCAAATACCATGAACTGATACTCTTTATTTTAAAAAGAAGGAAGTTTCTTCTGTAAGTTGAGGATCTAGATTTTAGTCAAGCCGTCAAATTCATAATCCCTCTGTAGAAGTTGCCAAGAAGGCAATTTTGGCATTTATCATAGCAAAGTGATCAGTTAATCCATCTCATTCTCTGTTCCTCCCACATTGCAAAATAGCTTGACCTGGAAAAACTCTTTTCCTTTGACGTTTCAAAGTCATTTAGTGCAAAGACATACACTCTCCTGCTCAGATTCAAAACCGTGAATATTTTCTAAAGCCTTCTGCAGCTTAATTGTGTTGCACAAACTTTAATTCAACTTCATGTCCAAATCTGTAGTGGATAAGCCTTCCAGAAAGGTCCTGAGAAAAAAAGAAGTTTTTTTTTTTTTTTTTTTTAAAGCTTTACCATTTTTACATTCTTATTTGAGTCTCCACCAAATACTCAACTATGATATTTGCTCTTTTTCGTATGGCTTCATTTTTTCCAAGAGTCATGCCCTTCACTCATTTCAAAGAATGCTTATTAATTCATTATGGCCACGTGCAGCCCTGTTTATATGAAGACAGACTGATGGGGGCCCTAAAATAACATAAATCATAACCAACTCCTTCAAAGCACAGCCCTCACCGAAGCTGATAGCATTGCAAAAAGCTACCACATTCCAGCTTCAAAAACTTGACATATAAAAGGTTGAGGATGAGACCGCATACTAATTGAACTAACAAGCCATCCTTCCACAGCTTTCCTGAGCACCTGTGAAAAATGAACTCTCTGAGCCAGAAGGGAGATCAGAAATAAATAGCCTGCCTCCAAAGAAAGCCGCAGGATAGCTTTTTGTTCTAAAATGACAATAGAAATCCCAAGCTTGAATCCGGACGTGCCATCTACTGTACCTACAAATAGGGGCCACATGACAACTGCATGGCTGTACATGTTAGACACACCCACAAATCCTACCCTCTCTAAAACTCAGAGGGATTTGATGTGAGATTAGCTATGATTAGTGGAAATGTTCAGACGTTACCCAACCCCCACTTATTTAATTAGCAGTTACTAATTAGCGTTTCATGCCAAAAATGTTCTGCAACACCTGCATTCATCGCTAAACCTTTTTCACAGTTGCTTGTGAAAGTAAATTGCACTTGGCTTGGGAGAAAAGCCCCTTTCATGCATTGTATGGATGGAAATGGCTCGTAATGCCAGTTTAGGTGCCCATAATAACCATAAGACAATCCTCTCTTCCCCCATTAAAAGAAGAGGTGATTAATTTCTAAGCCTCCAGTAATTTCTGGGAGAACTATTCTGTTTTAATACAGCTTTTCTTCAACCACATCTCCCTCTCTTAATTTGCACAGTGTGACCTGTTTGCTTATTTTGTGTCTGCAAGTACCATGAACATTTATTTGCAACGCATGGTGAATCACTGGCCTTTATTAAACCAGAACCCCTCCCTCCCTAGCAAAACGTGACTGCTGTACTCTGTCCAATAGGAGGCTGGTGAATATTCCCTTCCTGCGAGAATCAGTTGTGGCAGCATCCCGTTGGGTGGTTTGATCTTTGCAATTCTGAATTCCTTCCAAATGTCCTACCAGGGAAACAGTGATCCATGCATTTCTGAATTTTAACAAGTGAATGTGGTGTGTTTCAAAGCTGGTGTTCCCATAGTCTCTGCCTTGCAATCTTTATTTACTTCAAAATCTAGGGTTTTTTTTTTTTTTTTCGTTTTTAATTTAAGCTATCCCCAATGCGGATTTTCTCTTTAAGGTACAGAATGAAGGCAAACAACTTCATTTTCTTGATGAGAATACATTCCTTTCCTTTCCTGAATGCCAAACTGTGGCATTTTCTCTAAACGAGATTTAAGGTGCATGTGTAGATTGACTAGCATTGAAGTCTGTGAACCCACAAAGATAGGATAGGGGTAAGAGTGACCTGTTTTCCTAAGGCACATGATTTGTGACAATTTGGTCTGAGTGTTAAACTGTCTTCCCCTTTCATTTGCTGGTACATGGCCAGGATTCCCAGTCAGTCAGATGGTTGAGAGGAACAGGCACCACCAGTATAGGTCTTTGATGTGATAAAGCCAGAGTAGGGAAAGGAAGGAATTTTCCTGGCAAAGTCATCCTTTTATCTGCAAATAAAGTGGTCTTGAAAATTCCAGGTGTGATTTTTTTTTCTGTTGTTCCAGGTTTTGTATACACCAGGAACCCTGTAGATCTAAATCACTAGCTTTTTTCCCTTCTGATTGCAGAAAGCAACATGACGGTAGCTGATCAATTTGGAAACATCCATCCATGCTAGCAAAAGTCGGTTCCCTGGGAGATCACTTAACTTTAAATATATGTTCTGGATGAATTAATGGAAGATTGTCTAAAACCAGAGATTTTAAACAAATGGCTTCTTTCATTGATGGGTACCTTCAGCTCCAAACCATCTAAGCATTTCAGCTGATGAAATATTTGGCTTTTGAGATTTACTGAAATGAAGCTGGTAAAACAGTAACCATGCCCTCCTCTCACAATTAAACAATGAAAGAAAGGTACAAAAGAGATCATTTGAATTAATACACGTTAATAGCTACATTGATGCCACGTTTTGTTCAGAGCCCTGGGAGAAATAACAAGAAAATCAGTGCAAGAGATATGCTCGGTTATTGTGTGGTTATTTTAAAATGTGTTTCATGGGAAAAGTACCTAAAAACAGAGATCACATTTATCCCACTGTTGAGTGAAGTGGATATTATGTAAAACGAGCATGTCTTATTTGGGCGAAATATTGCTGCTAGAAAAGTTTCAGATTTTTATTACAGGTAATAATCTAAATATTTCTTCTCTTTCTGAATTACACCATAGTTTTTAGAGAATAATTCCAGGTCCTTTGGCTATCCATGCACTGCAAGTCAGTAAAAAACCTACTGGGGTTAGATGTGGTTCCTCTTTTGTTGAAATATGACTTTTTTTTTTTTTGTCTTTTTTCGTGTCCGGCAACGGATCGCAACCCTCAGTGTCGC